TGCAGTAGCTGCCCTCCCGACACCAATTCACAGTCACACAGAGCCTTCGACAAGACATCCCTGGTTCACTCCTAGGCGATAGGCACGTGCACCCCCTGCGGCCTGCTGCTACAGGGGTGGGCAGGAGGGCCGGTGCACACACCACATCCTGGACTGGGACATTCTGGGTGCCTTCTATCCCTGACGTCTTAAAACTCTCATTGCACACGAGCTGCCCTGCAACACACCCTCCACCGTGTGCAGCTGACACCACCCCGGCTCAGGCATCGGTCCAGCGAGCCCCCTCCACACCCCTCTGTGTCCAGGACACTCCTCAGCCCTGTCATCGACCGCCCCTCGGGCCACAGCGCTAGGCCTCTCAGCCCAGCGCTCTGTCCGTGGGCTCCCAGGAGGGTGTGCGCTTCTGTGATCTGCAGAGAAACGGCCCCCTGTTGGCCCCCTCAGGTGGAGCCAGGTCTCCTCCAGACCCTCATGTTTCTGGCATAACGCCCCCCTTACACACGCACTTTTACCCCTCCCCTGCTGGAACCGGCCACACGGGCTCCTGAGGTCCACACGCCCCAGCAGGCCCACAGCACCCATCTCAGAGATGGGGCCCAGTCCGCCCTACCTAGTGTCACCGCTTGGACGTCGCCCTGGCGTGACCGAGAGAGGCTAGCGGCGGCGGCCAGCAGGGCGGCTGCCCTCACGGTGGGTGGTCCCGGCGCCCCCGCCCCGCCCCAAGCGACGGCCGGGAACAATCCGAGCAGGGTCTGGTTCCCTGCTCGGGTTACGGCGGCTCGCAGGCCGGGCGGCTTCAGTTAAGCAATTAGCCCGTAAAACGACCTGGGTCCTGGGGGAGGGGGCGGTGCAGGCGTGGCTGTTTTTACACCGCCCACCCACCCCACTTGGGGGAATCCTCAGGGAGGGCTTGGGGAAGGCATGGATTTGAGTGTAGGGGGGGTTGTCTTTAGGGGTTTAAAATCTTTAATCTAAGTACAAAATTCTGCCTGAGACCCCAAGACTCATCCTGACCTACACTGCCTAGCTTGTCTGTGTCTGTCTGTCCCTCCCTGCTGGGCCCTTGAAGAAGAAAGGGAATTTTGGAGGGTTAAGTGGTCTCCTCTAGGCTTTGCGAGCAGGAGTCCACTTCTATCCCCGGAGAGGGTCTCTGTCCTGTCCCGAAGATCTTGTGCAGGAGACAGCCTCTGCTCTTCCTGACCAGTCCGTGGAGGCGAGGTGGGCTTGTCTCCTCTGATCTGTAGAGGGTCAGTGCTGACTTGTGTGTGGCCTCTAGGAAGATGGAGGAAGCAGCCAGGGGGCCGTTAGCCCTGGACCTGCTTTGTGGGTGAGGAACATGGGTCTGTGGAGTGGGTGAAACCTAGAATCCCCCCCAAACACACACACACAAATGGGGCAAGCTTGGCTTGGGAGGGGCATGGGGAGAATGGTTGTTCTCAAAGGTTTATCAGAAGGGTTGACCACCCAGAGGCAGATTCAGAAACTCTGGGGCATGGGGGGTGGGGGGGCGGGGTCAGACACCAGTGAGTGGTTGGTCAGTGCTATTGCAAAAGTTCTCTTCTCTAATATCCCCTCTGTCCCCTGGAGTCTGGGCAGTCGGGGTCTCTTACTCACAAGAGGGTAGATCAAATTTTAATCTTCTTGGGGTGGGATGTGTGTGTGTGTGTGTGTGTGTGTGTGTGTGTGTGTGAGAGAGAGAGAGAGAGAGAGAGAGAGAGATGGAACAGCAGCTGACTCAGGCTGGCTTTTCACAGTGCCTCAGTTTCCCCAAATGCAGAGTCAGGTTGGATCTCCAGGTGCCAGGAGCAGCAAGGCCTGGGATGGTTTCTGAGTGCCAGAAGAGCACCCCCTTCAAGGTAACTATGACTTTCCTGGGATTTAACAAGGGGTCTCCTACAAATTACAGAGTGGCCAGCTTGCTCCACTCCCAGACACCCCCACATTCACCTTCCACCTTGGTGGGGATTACAGGGAAGGCAGAATTTCCACTGCACACTCCTGGGGCTCTGTGCTACACTGGAGCCCCTCTCCCCAACACCATGATGATGGCTGCCCTGGAGCTAAGTGGGGACAGAGGGGCTCTGACCCCTCTCCCCCAAAACACACCCATGCAGAAGCCCCCACAAGGAGCTGGAAAGAGAAAGTGACCTGCCAGGAGGTAGAAGGAGGGGAATTTGACCCGAATCTGTCAGATCTGAAACACCCTAAAAACACCGGAGGGGAAGGGCCTGAAGGGAGAGGGCTGTTGGGAAGATGGTCCCTAACTCATAGTCCACAGAGCCCCCCCCAGTTCAGAGATGCCCCATTAATGACAGAGGACGATGGATTATTGATCAAGTAGGGTAACAGCGAGGGCTAGCGCTGGCTGGGGTCCTGGGCGACCGCCAGGCTCCTCTCAGCGGAAGAGGCCAGCTGTGCTTCGGGAGCCGGCGGTAGCGACCCCTTCCCGGGAGCTGCCCTCACACCGCGGGGCCTCTCCCCTGCAGCTGCTGTTCGGCAGCGGGAGTAGGGGGGGAGGGGAGAAGAAGAATAAGATGTGCGAAGGAAGGAGTAGAATAAGGGGGATGCTACTGTGCGTGGATGCGGGTGAGGCTGGGCGGGCGTCACGGGGAAAGAGTCCGAGGGCGATCCCAGCGGAGCTGGCCATGTTCGTGGGCGAAGGTGCCACGTGGATGTGTGTTGGCCGCATGCACGCATCCACCTGCGCCAGCAGCACCCACTCTCCGAAACGCCGGCCCACACTCACTTTCCCGGCCCGATGCCCTTGGAGAGAGGTGCCTGCAGTGAAGGGGACTGGTCTCCAGCCAGCGCTCTGCGGGAGGGGCGGAGATGGTGGACTGGCTAGCCACCGGCGAGCTCCCAGCTATTCGCAAGGACGTGCCAGGCGCCCTGAAGGCGACAAGGCGTCTCCCACCCAGGCTGGAGGTGTCTGGACAAGGAGGGGGACCGCTGAGGGACACCCGGAGAGTCAAGCGCGCTTTGAATGGCGCCCTGGGCCACGCTAGGAGCCCAAGCACATCCGCAGACTCCTCGTTGCGATCTGAGATAGCACCCGCTTTCATCCCGACCCTCGACTCTAGTGGGAGACGCCGGCCACTTGCAGTCTGCAGCCAAACGCACTTACCCGGGTCCGTGCGCGTCGCCTGGCACCGGGGCTCCTCAGCCTTCCCGCGCAGTTTCGCTCGGCGTCATCCGCTCCCTGGCCCAGTCCGGAGCCCAGCGCATCCGAGCCAGCGAGGGAAGGCGTCGGTCTAAGCTCCCTGCGGGCGGCCGGCCGGCCCAGCGCACTAGAGCCACCCGGGGCCGTGCTCCCCGCCTGCCGGCTTTCCGGAACCTGGCCAGCGCACGGTGTCAGAGGCCCTGCGGCGGCGGCAGGCCGAGCCCACAGGGGCGTGAGGCCAACTCCCCCCGCCCACGCGGAACTCTATTATTATTATTAAAGAATCCCCCCGGACGTGTTTACATTGTACCGAGTAAACATCCGGCCCGGGCCTTGGTATCTCAGCGGGAAATGGGAAACTGCCTTGGAAAGTGGGGACCGTTGGTCCGCGCGGGGCCCCAAAGAGGCTTTTCACTCCGGGGGCACTTCTGGGCCAGTAGTGGGCTAAGATCGGAGAGTAGCAATGCACGCGCAAGCGTGCGAGTTTAAACTCTTGCGTGGGCCTATTGTGTGGGCCCGGTCGTGCGCCTCTGGGGCGCGCACATGCCTGGACACCGTGTGGGGGTAACCGGGTTTGCACGCACGACTGTGACCTCATCCCTGAGTCTGCAGGGCTTACAGGATTTGCGTGTGCATTGGTGTATTGCACATGGGCAAAGTGTGTGTAAGAATACAGTATACGTGCCCGCGTCCCGGTGCTAGAGCAAGCGAGCGGTTGCAGCTAGTTCAGGAACCATTCGGTTGGACCCCCGCCGGGCCGGCGATCCTCCGCGCGCCCGTCCGGCCCCGGCTGCAGCGCCAGAGACAAAGCGGCGGCGACCCGCCCTGCGCTTTCGTTTTCCGCTTGCGCTCAGCCCGGCGGCTGCCAGTCCGCTCACGCGCGGCTGGGCGAGTCGGCAAAGACCGGGCGCTGCGCAGTTCTCCCCGGGGCGGGGAGAGCGGTAGGCGGGACCTCGCCGGAGTTTACGCCGGGCCGGCCGACTGGCCGCGGGAACCGGGAGCCCAGACGGCCGTGCCAGCCCGCGATGAGCGCGAACTGGAGGCCACCGCGGCCCAAGGAAGTTGCCACCCGGCCGTGCGCCTCGGGAAAGGCCCGGGGTCCGAGGCGCGCCTCCCGTCGGCCGCTCCGGCCGGGCAGATGGGGACGTGCGCGCAGAAGAGTTGAACCGCGGGCCCAGGGCGCCTGAACACTTGCTCGCCAGGTTGGTGGAGGCGGGGCGGGATCTGCCCGGCGCGGGGCAGCGCGGGTGGGGGCCCTTTTAGCGGCCGCCTTGCGCGGGGGCTGGAGGGGGCCCGGGAGGGAAGGACCTCCTGGAGGGTCTTACGCCGCCCGAGAGGCGCCGCTGAGCGGAGCTGCGGGGCAGGAGGCCTGGGCAGGAGTCTTGGAGTGGGGCGCCCCGGGCGGCGGAGAGCGCGCGCCGCGGCGGCCGGGGGCGCAGGGTTGGAGGCCTAGGGGCCGGGCCTCCCCAAAAGTCAAGGGTGGGGGCTCTTCCTCGCGGCCTCCGCCGGAGCTGGAGAGGCGCCGCGCTCAGGCTCCGCTGGGCTCCTGGGCTTGTGGGAGGGCGAGAGAGAAAGAGGGAGGAGAGTGAGTGGGAGGAGGGGTTGGAGGGGGGGCTCTGCGCCACCCGCCGGCCACTCGGGCCGCTCCTCGGGGAGGGCGGGCGGGGGAGGGCGCGCCGGGGCTCGCTCGGGAGAAGCGGCCGCCGATGACGGCAGAGGTGCAGCCGGCCCCTCGCGCGCAGCCCCCTCCCCCCCTCCGCCTCTTCCTCCTCCTCCTCCTCCTCCCGGCTGGCCGGCGGCGCAGAGCAGCGGCGGCAGCGGCGGCGGCAGCAGCCACCCAATGTCTTCGGCGCCCGAGAAGCAGCAGCCACCGCACGGCGGCGGCGGCGGCGGCGGCGGCGCGGCCATGGACCCGGCGTCGTCAGGCCCCTCCAAGGCCAAGAAGACGAACGCGGGCATCCGGCGCCCCGAGAAGCCGCCCTACTCGTACATCGCGCTCATCGTCATGGCCATCCAGAGCTCGCCCACCAAGCGCCTGACGCTGAGCGAGATCTACCAGTTCCTGCAGGCGCGCTTCCCCTTCTTCCGCGGCGCCTACCAGGGCTGGAAGAACTCGGTGCGCCACAACCTCTCGCTCAACGAGTGCTTCATCAAGCTGCCCAAGGGCCTCGGGCGGCCCGGCAAGGGCCACTACTGGACCATCGACCCGGCCAGCGAGTTCATGTTCGAGGAGGGCTCGTTCCGCCGACGGCCGCGCGGCTTCCGAAGGAAATGCCAGGCGCTGAAGCCCATGTATAGCATGATGAACGGGCTGGGCTTCAACCCTCTCCCGGACACCTATGGCTTCCAGGGCTCCGCGGGCAGTCTCTCGTGCCCGCCCAACAGCCTGGCGCTTGAGGGCGGCCTGGGCATGATGAACGGCCACTTGCCGGGCAACGTGGATGGCATGGCCTTGCCCAGCCACTCGGTGCCCCACTTGCCCGCCAACGGCGGCCACTCGTACATGGGCAGCTGCGGCGGCGCAGCAGCCGGTGAGTACACACACCACGACGGCTCCGTGCCCGCCTCCCCGCTGCTGCCCACTGGAGCCGGTGGGGTCATGGAGCCACACGCAGTCTACTCTGGCTCTGCGGCCGCCTGGCCTCCCTCGGCCTCGGCGGCTCTCAACAGCGGCCCCTCCTACATCAAGCAGCAGCCCCTGTCCCCCTGCAACCCCTCTGCCAACCCTCTGTCCGGCAGCCTCTCCACACACTCTCTGGAACAGCCTTACCTGCACCAGAACAGCCACAGCGCTCCAGCTGAGTTGCAAGGTGAGTGTTGGGGCCGGCTTCTGTGGGTGGCAGCCTGAGCCATGGCCACTGCTGTGGGGCAATCCCACCTTTCCTGACCCCCCCTGGGCTGTGGGGCTGGAGAGGAGCGTGCACCCCGCCGGCTGCTGCTCGATGTCCTAGCCGGCTCAGGTAGGCCGCTGTCTTGAGGAGGAGGACTGAAGGCTACTGCCCAGAGTCCCTTTGGGCCTATTATGGGCCCTCACACCTCAGGGAAGGGGCCCAGTCTGGAGGGGGGGGGTTCCCCCTCTCAGCTGGCCAGCCAACCGTCCCCAGCTAGGTGAGAGTCGCCCCGTCCCTGGGCTGTGGCAGGGCCTGCCTGGGCCAAATGGAAGGCTTAGGCCCCAAGCTGGCTGTGGGCTCCTGGAGCCTTGGTGACCAGGAGGGCCCTGAAGGGCCAGGCCTGCTTTGGCCAAGTGAGTTCTGTGGGCATTTTGTGAGTCAGGCCTGGACGGGATCCGGCAGGCAGGCCCCCAGCCTTGATTGCTCAGGATCCGGGTTGTCAGTCGCCAGGCCGTCACCGGGTCACCCCCAGGCCTCAGAGGAAGAAGATAAGGGCATCTCCCTCCCAGAACCTACTTGGGGGCCCTGCAGCAGCTTTCTGGGTCCTCACTGGGGACGGCCCTGAGGGAGTAACGCAGAGACTAGCAGGGGGTCAGCTGTCAGCAACGAGTGGGCTCTGGAGGCCTGCCTCTCCCTGTCTGGGCTAGAGATCGATCCACAGACTGGGGCTGCCTCTTCTGCCTCCTGGGGGGCCTGATCTCTCTAAGACCAGATCCCCACCTCCGGCTTTTCACCCCAGCCGGTTGCCTGGCTCCTTCCGGGCTGGGCCTTCAGCCCACGGGGCCTCCCCAGCTGCAGGCGCCCGAGATGGCTGCCCCAGCGCCCCAGCACGGGATGTAGGCCTTGGGCTGTCCTGACAGGGGAGAATTCAGAGTGAGCCACCGGGCCCTCCCAAGCGTTTGCTAGCTCAGCACGCCCACCCTCTCCCACCCCACTGGGCTTGCCTTCGGGAAGTTCCCTATGCGTGCGCGGCCAGGCCCAGGCCTGGCTTCCTCCAGAGCGTCGGGCAGAGGCGCAGAGCACCCTATCTGTCCGCAGCCATTGGGCCTGCGCCTGTCCCCCGCCCCCCTCGTCCCCGGTGAGACAAGACGGAGCCCTGCTAACCCCTGTGCCCCCACCCTGCAGGCATCCCCCGCTACCACTCACAGTCGCCCAGCGTGTGTGATCGCAAGGAGTTTGTCTTCTCCTTCAACGCCATGGCATCATCGTCCATGCACTCTGCCGGTGGCGGCTCCTACTACCACCAGCAGGTCACCTACCAAGATATCAAGCCGTGTGTGATGTGAGGCCAAGTGGCCGCCGTGCCCTCCGCACAGGGACCTCGGGACCCAGCGGGAGAAACTGCTTTATCCTTGAGGTATAACCGTCGGCAGAAGAAAGGGTCTGATCCCTCCCAAAGCGGATTATTTGGAAAAGAAAGTTGGCCACCCGGCCCAGATCAGGAACAAACCGTGGGGTGGCGGGGTCTGCCTGGACTTTGGGCCGTCGGCAAATAGTGTCTACTTGTGATCCTCGCGGGGCCGCCGCTCAGAAGGTGCTCTGTTGCGGGGAGGGGGGGCCTCGAAGTCGAACCACAAATTAATTCTGCTGAGCTCTTCTTCCTGTCCCCACCCTCCAGCGGCCCGCTCCCCAGAGGAGCTGAAGAAGAAACGAAGTGTGTGAAGCAATCATTATCAAATACCTTCATCTGGGGGCTGAGTATTTATCTCTTTAGTTGTCATTTTTTATTCGAAAGACTGGCTGGGGCCTCACCTCCGCCGTCGCCAGCCTCCCCAGTGTGTGGAGGAGGCAGAGGCATCCTCACCCACCCCCCACCTCCAACCCCGTAGTCTCTTCCGTTGAAACCACAGGTGGATCATTTTGGTGAACAACTTGCGTTTCTGGTTTCTGAAGCCACTGTCCTCTTTCAAAAACAAAAGGAGCTCAGGCTACTAGCTGGGTCCCAGCAGGGTCGTCTCTGGGCCCGGGGTGTATCCTGCCTCCTCTCTCCCTCCCGCAGCTGTCTGGTTTGTGCTTGAGGTTCATTCCTCTCCCTCCACTCCCCACACACCCCTCTTACTGTAAACTTTCTGGTCCGAGAGAGAATGAGGGGGATACGGGCCTTGGTCCTCCTCCTCATCGGTGCAAAGCCGGGGGCACTGGGCACTGGGGACATCGCTCGGCCGGTGACCTCCTCCAGGATTCATGATTTCGGTGACACGGAAAGATGAAGGCACTTTTAAAAACTATAGCAAGGTTCATCCTGTTATTTATTCTACTTTCTTTCCCTAATAATCCAAAACACCGCATAGACCCCCTCCTCTTGTTTATCAGTATTCATGGTGTAAGTGGGTTGGCAATATTTGCCGTGTGGAGTTTTTGATGTCTTCTCTCCCGTGCTCTCTTGTTTTTTGTTGTTGAGATAACCATTGTAAATTTGAAGTTAAAAGAAGTCCCACCTGTATAAAAAAGTTTCCATATGTTTTATATAAATATATATATAAAATGAAGGATGGGGGACCCCCTTCTCTTTTTTTAAATTTAGTATTCTGGCTACTGAGAAGCAGCCTTTGTGACACATGTTAACCCCTTCTGCACTGTACAAAATGGTCATTGGGCGATGTTGCGCCTTTGTGTAATTTTTTTTCCTAAAAAAGAAAAAAGAACAAAAATAAAACTGTATAACATTTGTACCCGGGCTTCAAAAAATTGTGTGATCAACTAAAAAGCAGAACTGTGGGAGTCTTTGGTGTGGAGTTTCCAAGCCCCAACTGCAGAAAGCAGCAGGGTTTGAAGAGCTTATCTTACTGGGAGGATGATCATTTTTCATCTGGGTTTGGGTAGTTAAAGTTTTATTTTAATTTAAAATCAGGGTAGTTGTAAATACCTTTTCTTAAAACCAAAAAAAAATTTTTTTGCGAGGGTAATCTCCCTCTTTTGACTTTTCGTTTCTAACGGATGGGAGCAGAGCTAACTCTTTCTTGTCTTCGGTCTTATGAAGAGGAGCCCTCTGTCCGCTCGCAACGCTATTTCTTGTTGGGAAAGACAGAGCCTCTCATCCTGCAGACGCCGAGCAAGAAAAGTCTCTTTCCTTCCTTCTGTCTTAAACGCGTTTCATTGTTATTTTGTTTTTCCCACTCCAAGACCATCGGACCAAGCACTGTTTTGAGTTTCAAACTCCGTTGTTTCTCGATGCGGTTTTGCCAAACCATGAAACAATTTCAGGTTTGTGGTCTGCCCGGTATTTGGTTTTCCCCAACCCAGAAGCTAGTAAAATTTGACCCCCAAAAGGCCTTTGAAGGACAGGAAGGTAACCACCATTGGGTCTCCCGACCCCCTTATCCGCATGGAGAGTATCTTTCCCTCGCTAGAAAAACAAAAATGTTTAATATAAATTCCAGGGCTTCACCTGACCATGCTTTCTAGTTCAACCCGGTTATCTGGGAAAACAAAATCAAGCCCCCCTGTCCTGCGGCTGCAGCTTGCTTAGAGACCCACCGCAGGGTTGCAGTTTTCCCTGGGTCCCGGGTCGGGTCGTGAGCCCCTGAACCTGGTTGTTCTCAAACTTGGCCATTTAGACATGGGCTAATTTCCCAGGAGCTCGGTTACATAAAATTATCAATAAACCCGCCCGCACAATTAATGTCCCAAACGGACAGTTGTCCATAAACTCCACACAAAGCGGGAGGTGGGTAAGTGGGGGCAGGCCACTGGCTGCTCTGTCCCTGGGGCCTGGGCAGGTCTCCGGGCCCAGCGCTCGGTCGCCAGGCCTAGGATATGGGAGCCGGACAGGCCAGGCACAGTCACATATACGCCCCAGGCTAGACGAGAGGCCGCTGCTCTGCACCCCAGCCTCCAGCCTCCCCAGGAATACCTGTGGGCAAAACAGACCCCGGGCCGCCGTGGAGAGCTGGGGCACCTCCTTCCGCGTCGGAGATTGCTCCCCAATTAGAACGGAGGCTCCGGGAAGTGGGGATGATTAGCAGAAACCCAATGCCGGCCAGCCAGCGCGATCCCGGGCTCTGCCAGCGGCGGCCAGGCTCCTGCGCGTTCCCTGACCCGCCCGAGGCTCGGCCGGCCCAGGCCTCCGTGCGCCCTGGCTCTGCGGCGAGTCCGGTCGGGGCTCTTTCTCCTAGCTGCGCCCTGGTGTCAGCGGGAGCTCCCAGCAACCACATCCCCGCGAGGCTGGGTGCGAGGCAGTGGGACGGGCTGGTGTGGGAAAAAGCAGCCCAGGGCCTGGGCCTAACTCGGTCCGAGGACGCAGGAAGAGCCTGGCGCCAGGCAAGTCCTTCAGGGACAGATGAGCCCGCAAAATCGCCTAGGGCACTCGCGCCCCAAGCCCCGCCGCTCCCCGCACCAATCCAGAGCACGCTGGGGCTGTGGTGTCTCCAGTGTGCGTTCGTTCGGGCGTGACTCGAACCCTGGACTGTGCCCGGCACAAACTTGAGTTTAAAAGTCCAGTCGCCTGAGCAAAACAGCAGCTAGTGGGCACGCCTTGGGGGGGTCGTCTCTGTACCGCAGACTACCTGCGAATCAGAACCCGCCTCCCGCCTGAGGAGGGTTGGTGTGAGGATGTGAGTTTAGGGTTTCTGTGTGCTGTTTGCAGCGGCCACCGCGGGGGCGCGCAGGACCCACGCCCTCGGCGCCCCAGGAGGGCGCCCAGAGCGCAGGCAGCCAGCAGCGGCAGGAAGGCGCCCGACGGGCGTGGGTCTCTGGAGTCAAGGCGCCTGTCCCAGGGAGGCGCACCCAGTCCCACGGTTTGCTTTTCCCTTGGGGACTGGAAGGCAGTGCATGGGGGGCAAGAGGTCCAGCTCCCCACTGCAGGGTCCCTCATCTATAACCTCACTGTCCTGGAAGGGGGGCAGGCAGTCGAAGGAAGGGATGCTGTATGTAAGGCACCCAAGAGGCCTTTTGGCTGGGGTGGGGGTGGGGTACGAAGGCCTGGTACCCAGGAGCCTGTGGGGCCTGGAGAAGGCTCTTAGCACCCTCCACCCTGTGTCTCCCCCCAGCCTGCCAAGCATCAGGTGTGTGAAGAAGGGTCTGTATTTTAAAAGCGCCCCCCCCCCCAGCTTCGCATGAGCACCCTGTTCGACTCCTGAACCCCACTGCCCAGCCCACCAATGTCCTGGACTCCCGCCCTGGCAAAGGAAAAAGAAAGATGGGATAGTAACTGTAGGACCGGGGGCGGACTCCCCCAGAAAGCACGCCGGACCTCCCTCTCTGGAACCAGGGTCTGGGCCTTTTGAAGGAGGCAGGAAGCAGGTAGGAAGCACCCTCCTGCAGATGTAGGAGAAGGGGGTTGGCTAAGAGCCTCTGTCCTGGAGTTTGGGGCAAGGGCACCCCCCAGCAAGCCAGGTTTCCAGGTGGTCCCGCTAGTGCTAAAGGTTAAGGCTCAGCTAACTCTCCCAGTGTCCAAAGAGGCCCAGCAGCTCCCGGGGTCTCTGCTGCCCCCTCCTGGCCACTTGCCTCCAGGTCAGCTCCCGCTCCCCGCCTCCCTGCATGCCCCTGTGAGGGACAGGGTGTTGAAGGACGGGGTGTTGGGCCCCGGACCCAGGCTGGAGGTGCGTTTGTGCAGGCCCACGCTGACCCCTGGACTTTAGTCGCACTGGTTTCGGTGATTTGGGGGTGTCAAAGGAAGAGGAACCCAAGCCTTTGCAAGTATAAAAAAGACGGTTGCATAAAACCCCCATCCTCACCAACAGAGGCGCGACAGAGGCGCTGCGGGGCCCACAGCGTGGCTGACACCCGCAGCAGGACATATGGAGCTGGGTGCCCGGCGGGCAGGACACTGGACCCCACTCCAGGCCCCAAGTCCCCAGCAGCCTTGGGGGCGGCGCCCACCCAGCTCACAGCGGCCCTATGCCTGGGGCCCAGGCACAAGGTCACCACTGAGCAGCTTCAAGTACCGGGGCCCGCCCATGATCTGCCAGGGAGAAGGTGAGCTGAGGGCGCCTGGGCAGTGCTCAGGCCTCACAGCCCGTCCTTGCAAGGGCACTAAGCTCTCCTACAGGGGAGGACAAGCAAGCCCCTGCCCCCCCTCCCCCCCAGCCAGGGCTCTGTGTGTGCCTGCACTCTGTACATTCTATCAGGCAGGTGGGGGCTGTTTGCCTGGTGCTCAGTTGCGACCACTCCCTGGCCTGGGCAGCGTCACCAGCTTGGGGTGGGGGTGGGGGTGGTGGGAGTGGGGGGAAGATCCCGGGAGGTTAGAGAGGTCCAATCTGAGCCAAAGAAACCCCAGGGGGCACACTGGTGGGCAGTGGCAGGCATGGGCATGAAGACGAGGGGTATACAGCGGCCTGCCCACACCTGGTGGGCCCAAATCACCTTCGAAGGAGCCCCATGCAGTGTGCAGGGAGGGAGTTGGGGCCACAGGGAAGGGAGCCTGTGGTTTGGCTGAGTGGACCTGGGCTGGGTCCACCCCTGGCTGTTTTTCAGCGGTGAGGCAGCGCCACCTGCTGGCCACACCATGCAGGTTCGTGTTGGGATTGCCACCCGCTGACCGGCCTGGCTTCTTCCCAGACACCTGTGTGGGTTTGAACTCTCAGTCAGCAGCCAAGTGCTTAATCACCGAGCCACCAGGCCGAGCCACCCAGGAGCTCCACAAAACCAACCCCAGGAGAGGCTTGCATGGATCAAACGGCCCCTGGGGCGTGGACCCCTGCAGGACTGACTCGTCGCCGGGACTCCTGGGGACACCAGGGAGAGAGGACACTAAATGGACAGCGTCATTTTATTTGCCATTCCCAGTCCCTGGAGAAGGACATGATGCTCGGTAAATGGAGGGGCAGCAAGGATCAGAAGGCCCCAATGACCCAGATGGACACCGCGGCTGCATCGACGGGCTCTGGCACAGGACCAACTGTGAAGGTGGCGCAGGCCTGGGCGGTGTTTCCCTCTGCTGTGCACTGGCTCCGGAACTTATCAACCACAACAAGTACACGACCGATAAGACTTAATTGAAATAAAACAAAAAGACAGGCTTTAAAGAGGTAAAGAAAATAAAAAAGACTTAAGTCCTGCCCGCTGGGCAGCACCTGGCCTCTGGGAAGCCACCTGGCCTCGTCGACATGTCCCCAGGAGAGACTTCCGTTCCCGGAGGAGCTGGTAACAGTGGGCCTCACCAGCCCGCCCTACTGTCTGAACCTGGGCAGGCGAGCTCCTCTCTGACTCAGTTTCCTCGTCTGTGAAACGTCTGTGATGGTAGAAGGAAGGGGTAGTGTTTCTGTGAGTTCGTCGTCAATGAAGTGTTTACAAAGGAAGGCACCAAGGCACAGAGAGGGCAAGTACTTGGCCCAAAGCCACACAGCCTGGACCTTGGTGCCCGTGGCTTAGCCTCCGTGGCCTCTGGCTGTGAAACGGTCAGGTGGCTGAGATGTCTCCCAGAAAACCCAGCCCAATCCACTGCCAACGGGTGGACTCTGACTCCGAGGAGAACTGCCCGGAGGGTTTTGGAGTCTGTGGGTCTCTGTCTAAGCAGATGGCCTCGCTGCTCTCCCCAGAAGCCACTGCGTGCCTCAAACCACTGACCTTCCTGTTAGCAGTGGGGCGCTTTAACCACGGCACCACCAGGAACCTGCCTGTGTCTAGTGACTCCTGGAATCACAGAGATGAGGGGTGGGCCTTGCCCAGAGGGTGGGCTCCTCTCTCTGCCTAAAGCCAGCCTTCCCCTCTGGAATCAGGCTAGGACTCTCCCCACCCAGGGGTCGGTCCTCCAGGACGCGCTGGCCAGCCTCCTGTGCTTGGGGCACCGCTCTCCGTGCCCGGAGTTCCACCTGCCCACCGCCCAGGGCCGGGTGTCAGCTCCCGCTTCCCCCGCTGAGACGTAGGGCCATGCAAAGAAAGGCTCCACTCAGGGACGGGCACTGGCCCCGGTCCAGGGGGCAGGTGTGGGTCCTCTCTTCTAAGCACTCTGCTTATTGGAAATTCGCCAGGCACCTCTTCTGAGCAGGGCTTCATGATGCCACAGACTTGGTGAAGTGGCCTGGGGTGGGATGGGGTGCAGATGGAGGGAGGGGGCGGTGAGCCCCACTGCTGCTGCTGCTGCTGCAGCGCACACCTGGATGGAGCCACCCAATTTCCTCTTCTGCAACTGAGGCTCACAGTGACCCTCTAGGACAGGCTGGACCTGTCCCCGTGGGTTTCGGAGACTGTAACTCTTTACAGGCCTAGAAAGCTGTGTCTGTCTCCTGAGGAGCGGCTGGTAGTTTCGAACTGCTGACCTTGCAGATCGCAGCCCATTGTCACCACTAAGCCACCAGGGAGTGCTGACTGGGAGGCCCACAGACCCTGGCCAGACAGATGCAGCCTGTCCTCAAGAAGCTTCCAGCGGAAGGGGGGCTGCGCGGGCTGTGAAGGGCTCAGGACCGGGCAGTGTTTCCTTCCGTGGTGCATGGAGTGACTGGTCAGAACAGGCTTGACGGCCCCACGCACAGTGACAGCCTATTGCCGCACACACTGAGGGAGGGGTTTAGAAAAAGGACACAGATATTCCAAAGGCTCTTCACACCCGGGTCCAGAAGCAACAGAAGCAGTTTGAAATAAAACGACTGCACACAGGGACCGCTGTTAAGAGCGGGACACAGAAATCAGCCACTAATTGTGTGTGTGTGGCAGGGGGCGGCTGCTTTTCCCGGTCCTTCCACGGATGCCCTATAACACGTATTCTGCAATTCTCAAACAAACCCACTGCCGTGAAGATAACTCTGACTCCTGGTGACCACAGAACTGCCCTGTGGGTTTCCAAGAAGTAGAGAGCCTCTTCTCTCTCAGTGGCTGTTTTTGAACTGCCAACCTTGCGGTTAGTAGCCCCACGCACCACTGGGCTCGTTCCGCGGGAAGTGCCCGGGGGAACCCCTGTGCACACTCTTCTCTTCTCCACAGGCCGCAGTGTGCACGCGGGCACTCATGTAGCAGGGCGGGCTGAGCTGCTGTCTCCAAGGTGTGAGCTGTGTGCGCGTTTCCAACGTGACTCTGCAGAAAACGCCCCCGTGCGGGGGCTGCGGCATGAGAGGGGCAGAGGAGCACTGGAGCCCCTGAGTTCGAGCCCCAGAGATGACCCTGGGGCTGCCCACCGGCCTCCAGCTCCTTCCTCCCCAGGAGCGCAGCAGGCTGGGTCTGTGCCCACCACCGCGGCCAGCAGGGCAGGCGGCCCCTTCTGCTCGGGGAGCAGCTGCCCCACGTTCAGAGTGCTTCACTTGTTGTTCCTGGCAACGCAAGAAAGGGTCCGCGTGGAGAACTGCATCAAGCCGGCTCCTTCCCTTTGCTACTTAGAGATGCGGTCCTCTGATAACTCAGCTGGGGGGGGGGGTGCTCCTCAAGCCAGGTGTCTTTTTTCTGCTCTGTCTTCCTCTCTCTCTCTCTCTCTCACATGCACACTCTTTTCTATTTTCTTCCAGTTCTTGAAGATGGGCGTTCATGCTGAGACAGTCCATCAGCCGGGGCGCTATTTATGCGTGTGAGGCTGACTGGGAAGCCGGGCTGCTTCCCCCTCTGCCCTCCCACTTCTAAACAAGCGCTGGAGGCGGCCTGGGTGCGGTGTGTACACGTGGGGCTGCTAACCACAGGGTCGGCAGTTCAAACCCACCAGTTACTCCTCTGGAGAAACGCGAGGCTGTCTACTCCCACAGTGACCATCCTGGAAATCCACAGGGGTGGCTCTACCCCGTCTGGCACCAGCTGGACAGCAGGGAGTTGGTCTCTTACACGAGTGCCCAGGAGCCCCGTGGGCTAAGAAGGGTCACTCTGCTTCAGAGTGGACTCGAGGGCCGCGGGGGTGACCTTTGTTAGGGCGATTCTGAGTCTGTGGCTGACCCTGTCTTTCTGTGAGGGCAGCAGTCATGCACAAGTAGGGCCACCTTGTGTCAGGACACTCTTGAATTCACCTTACCACTTAGCGTTGGCAGGGGACGCTGTGCAGCTGACCACAAGGTGAATGGTTCCCCGTCACCCCAGACCAACAGAGGCTCCTCTCGGCTGCTTGCATAACCTTCATGGAGACTCAAGTCAAGGTGTGGGGAGGAGGGCCACCTGTCTGTCTCAGAGGTGGTGGTCTCCCTCCTGTTGGTGGGTACAGGGGGAGGGGGGAACGCTAAGCCTTCCTCCTGGAGACCCTCCACCGGAGAACGCACCCTGCGTGCCGTTCCCCATCTGGGGGTCCCATGCAGTTCCTGCTCAGCCCTTGGGGACCGAGGGACTTGCCCTTTCAAGGTGCACAGCATCCTGAGGCCACCCGGGGAGGAGCCAAGTTGGGGCCCCCATTAAGAAAACCGGCTTGCATCTTATACCCACCTGTAGGGGGTTAAAGGGACAGAACCACTCCCTCAGCCTTAGGACTGTGACCCCCTGGTGTGAGCATCAGGTGACCCCTGCCCCAGGGCTATGGGTGGGGCAGTCACTGGTCCACGCCTCCTGCCCTGAGGGCAGTCCAACAGTCGGCCTGAGGGCAGTACAGGTGCCATTTTCTCCCGCTGCTGGGTCAGACAGTGGCAGGCACAGTTCCACCTTCTTGAGTGAGCGTCACTGCTATGCCATCCAGAGTTCAAGCCTCACTGCGAACAGTGCCCGGTCACCTGAGCTTATCGCCCGCGCCCCCCTGCAAGTCCACCACCCAGAGACTTTCGTCTCAACAGCTGCCCCGCCCTACATACTTTGCTTTCCTAGTTCTGTGCCATTGGCTAAGTTAGCGAGACTGCCCACATACGCCCCAAGACTTCCCAGTAAAAGGACAAGGCTCTCTGACACGGACCAGGGACAGACAGAAACCACAGATGCAGGCGTGGATGCTGAGCTCACCCTCCATCAGGCACCCTCGTCTGAGAGCACTTCTGACGCATGACCCTGCGCCCCACACACCCTCATCAAGGGGTGACTAAAGATGCGGGTGCTATCGCAGAGTGTGGTGAAGAAACCAGTGAGGGCGGCTGTCAGGGATCTTAGGGGCTTCAAATGGGCAGCCGGAGTGCGGGGCATCCGTGTGCTGGGAGGACAGTGACTGAGGCCATCTAATGCCTTTCTGGGTGCTGAGCAGGCTGGACTCAGACACCTGTTGGTAGATGCTGGCTGTCAGTGAGCCACCCTTGGCCACCTCTCTCCCAAGGAGCAGCGGGTAGGCTCGAACCACTCAACAGGGTGCTCAACCCACCATGCCCCCAGGGCTCTGGATGGCAGCAGAGACAAGGCGCAGGCACAGGGCACTTGAGCCCTTCCAAGGGGGGTGTCCTGAGAAAGTGCAGCAGTGGGCAGCGCTGGCTCGGTGGCCAGAGGATGTGTGACTGGGCCACAAAGGGCACCCTCCGGGCAGAGGCAGGGGCCCTAGGCATCTCCAGGCACTTTGTTGGATTCATGGGGGTGGGGTTCGGGGCAGCACGCCTTTCAGGGATGACCTGCACTAAAGGTTAGGCTGGTCATCGGGAAGCCCAGGGTCCCCAGAGCGCCTTAAGGGGCCTGCTTGCCAGGCGAGTCTCTCGGGGTCACATGTGGTGACCGCACTTGCTGAGCCCCGGGGGCTGCAACATGAAATTGCCAGCCAGCAGTGTGGGGGAGGCCCCTGGCCCCACGCAGATCCTGGATGCCCTCAGGGTGTGTGTCTGGGTCTACGTGCAAATCTGTCTGTGTGCCTGTGTCTGTCTGTACCTGTGTGTGTGGTCTGTGTCTGTCTGTGTTGGGGACTGGGGCAGGGAGGACATGATCTGCTTCTCAGAGGCAGCAAGCCTCCCTGTGAACAGCTGAGCTCCCCCAGGAGGCAGAGTGAGGGGTGGCAGGGAGGCCACAGGCTCCTGTCTGCATGGCCCTGAGAGGGACGCTGAGCCTGGGGGACCAGTCTGAACGTGGGGCTCAGAGGCGGCTCCACTGAAGAACCTAAGGGAACCCCGAAACAGTGCCCCCACCTGGGCAGGACCCAGGGGGTCACCATCTTCGGCCTCAGCCCGCGACACCTGCCATTCTGTCGTCCTCCCCTGGACGGAGCCCTGTGGGAACAGGCAGAAGCACAGAGAGAAGCGGATCGAGTTTATTCCAGGCTACACCCCTCTGGCGGTTCACGAGGCCAGTCGTGGGCCTGCTGCGGTCTGTCCAGGGTCGGCAGAACACCAAGGCTGGCAGCTCCCTTGTCCCCCGGCGGCTCAGCCAGCTCCACGCACAGCCTGCTGGTGCCCAGATGCAGTGCCTGCAGGCAGGCCACGGCCCGCTCCGCTGATGCCTGGTCTCTGTAGCTGAGGACCGCTGGGGGCCCCGGGCCCTGCCAGGCCAGCCGCAGGGGTGCAGCCCCGTGCTCTCGGAGGGCCCTCTTCAGTTCGCCCACTCTGGCACCTGCGGGCAGGCCCCCCACGTGGACAGTGGCAGTGGTGGTGGGAGGGCAGCCCGCCCCGTGCAGGCGGCTGGGGGTAGTGGCACAGGGGTGCAGCAGCTCACCCCGCAGGGCCACGTCCTTGCCCGCCTGCTGCTCCTGCCTGCGCAGGTCCCTCAGCACTGGGATCCGCCGCAGCATCTCGGGGCTGATCTGAAAGGGAAGCCTGCGCTCAGTACGCAGTGCGCAGCCCCTGGGCTGAGAGCCCATGCCGGCAAGTCTGACAGCTGCAGCCACTGGGACTGTCCCGCTGGGGCAGGGTGGTGGGAGGGCAGGAAGCCACAGGCACCCCCATAACAAGTTGAGGCCTTGGTCTCAGGGTCATACGATGCCTTCCTCTGACTCCCCAGGACAGTGGCGCGCCTGCCCGTGCCCCAACCCCTCCAGATTCCTGTGGACCCGCAGCGCGTCCTCCCGTGCTTTGGGTCCTGGCCAAGATCGGAGGTGGAAGATGTAGCTGGGGACATTCACCAGTCCCCATAGAGTAGGGCCACCCTGAGAAGCCGCAGGAAGGGGCTGGTTCCAAGGGCGGGTGGGCACCGCCAGCTTGCCTGACTGTTGACAGCATTTGCTTGCTGCCTGTCAAGCTGCCATTGGCCAGCTCCCGTGTCCGGCCCTCCCCTCACCAAACAGGACATCCACCTCTGCAGAGCCCAGCAGCACGGAAAGGAGCAGCCAGTCCAGCCCGGCAGCACCTGTGTCTGGAGAAGGCCCTCTCCTTCCCCCGCAAGCTGGTGTCCCATCAGCCCCTTTGGAAACCCTGCCTGGAGGACCCTCTCTCTGATGCCCTGGCTGAGAGGGATGCCTGTCTAGTGCTCCCTGGTACTGGGCGGCTGGACACACTGCCACCTCCCCTGTGCAGCACGCGCTGTTGGACCAGACGATGCTGGGGGACCCCTCCCTATGGCTGGCGGGAACCCGTGCCCGGGTCCGTGCCGAGCCCATCATGGAAAGGCATGCGGCCATCAGGAATGGAGCCTCACGGACGGGCCTGCCATGCCGAGAGGGTGAGGACAGTGGCCAGGTGACCACCATCCTCCTGGCCATCGAAGGCACTCCTTCTTGCAGCAGAGGCTAATGGAAACTCTGCTGAGATGCTCAGCAGGGCCAGGGGCGCCCGGCTTCAGGCGGTCAGTACACAGTGACCCTGGGTGAGGAGCGGGCCCAGAGACGCAGCATGGGACGGGACAGACACCACCCCCGGGACGGGGCCTGGGTCCCAAGGCTTCTTGGTGTCCAGTGTCTGGGTCAGCGCTGTGCTGCCTCCCACAGCAGCCGTGATGCTTTGCAGACCCACCAGCGTGCACGAAGGTCTCAACCCCCCACCCCCGCCAGCATCGGTCTTGTCCTGCATTTGTGGACTTGGCGGTCAGCGCCGTCGTTGTCTGGTGTGTCCCGAGAGCTAGCTGTAGGCTGGATGCCGTCCGTGGTGACCTGCCTGCACATGTCCTCTGGGACTTCCGACCGTCGCCTGGGCCTCCCATTCTGCCCACCAGCCCCATCCCTCAGTGCCCCTGTTCTGACAGTCTGCTCCTATCACCTGCCAGTGCCAAGGAAGGCAGGCTGGGACCCCAAATCGGAGGTAGCCCCAAACTCTGCAGGCAGAAACCAGGGCTTTCACTGCCTCCGTCCTGCTGCCGACCCTTGGGGCCCTGCAGGCGCCCAGCAGCGCAACCTGAAGAGGGCACCCCTTTGCTGAGGGCTTCAGTGGAGGGTGGGGTGGGGGAGGCTTGCAACGTCAGCCTTTCAGTTAGCAGCCAAGTGCTTAACTGTTGGCCCCACCGGGGCTCCCAGGAAAGTGGGGGGTCCCTCAGAGCAGCGGAGACCCCGGCCTCGGCCCCTGGGCTCGGGCCGCTCTGCTGGTGACGGCAGGCCACTCGGCAGCAGGCCTGGCCTGGGAGGTGTCGGGGTAATTTGGCCACCACGCTGCCCACCGGCCACTGCTCCCCAAGGCAGAGCCTTCCAGGGAAGAGCCACCTGCCTGCCACTGGGGAGATGCCTACCTTAGACCACGTGATGCCCCGGGGCTTTGGGCGCTGGCAGCCGGTCCTGATGACCCGTGTGGGTGTCAGCACGTAGTCCACAGTGAGGTCGTGCTCCTCCAGCAGGGCCTCGGGGATGGGGACCACCTGGTATGGCCACAGAGGGCTGACGGACACCACCACCGCC